ATGGATCCCCATTAGTTCCTGCCAAGGCAGCAGCTACTCTTCCTGGGGTTTATTATGGATCCCCATTAGTTCCTGCCAAGGCAGCAGCTACTCTTCCTGGGGTTTATTATGGATCCCCATTAGTTCCTGCCAAGGCAGCGGCTACTCTTCCTGGGGTTTATTATGGATCCCCATTAGTTCCCGCCAAGGCAACAGCTTCTCTTCCTGGGGTTTATTATGGATCCCCATTAGTTCCTGCCAAGGCAACAGCTTCTCTTCCTGGGGTCCAAACACATTAAGGCACTTACATCACACATAAAACAAAAGATAGAACAGTACATCATATAACATTATTACACCACTACATATCTACAATACAAAATGCATAATACCACCATACAACAATATTACATATTTTAATTTTTTTGGTCTGTTTAGCTCACACAATATAATTTAAAAGTATGCATTAAGGTGTCTGTAATAGAATAAATGTGGCAAAAACAAATGTATACATTAAAAAATGCATTTCTATAGCTTCCAAAATATTTACAATTACAATGGTGGGGGAGTGCCCCCTGTCAGCACCCTGTTAATCATCAAGTGTACGGAGCTGTGAGGGGAACGGCACCTCCGTACCTTCAGGCTCTGATCAGACCCTAAACCCAAACGAGGGCATTGCGTTCATCCACCTCTGGCCTGCTGGCCCCCCTTCCTCTGCGGAAGCACAGTTCCCTCTCAGCCCAGTCAAAACTGTTCGCTGCTCTGGCACCCCAATGGTGGAACAAGCTCCCTCACGACGCCAGGACAGCGGAGTCACTCACCACCTTCCGGAGACACTTGAAACCCCACCTCTTTAAGGAATACCTGGGATAGGATAAAGTAATCCTTCTACCCCGCCTTACCCCACCCAAAAAAATAAAATAATAATAATAATAATTGTAAAGTGGTTGTCCCACTGGCTATCATAAGGTGAATGCACCAATTTGTAAGTCGCTCTGGATAAGAGCGTCTGCTAAATGACGAAAATGTAAAATGTAAATGTGTATACAGCCCCGAGCCGACTAGGTGAAAAATCTGTCGATGTGCCCTTGAGCAAGGCACTTAACCCTAATTGCTCCTGTAAGTCGCTCTGGATAAGAGCGTCTGCTAAATGACCAATATATATATATATATATATATATATATAAATCATTGGTTGTCACTAGTTACCACAGCCACAAAGTCACAATTGGCTATATTGTAAAAATTCATGAAAACAAAATTGTTTAAAACAAAATTGCTTTTTGGTGTTAATTTAAGGTTAGAGTTAGGCATAAGGTTAGCAGTGTGGTTAAGGTTAGGTTTAAAATCAGATTTAGCCATTTGTGGCTGTTGTAACTAGTGACGACCGAAATAGTGTTCTGTACTGCCCTCCCCCGGTCCAGACAGAAACATTTAGTCTGCACTTCAGGGAAAATGGTAAGTTTTTGATGAGCTGGGGTGAAACATCTCACTCAATGTATTTTGATAAGGCTTATTTTCAAGTAGCAACCGTTTGATATCCACATTGTCTGTCTGTATAATCGCTCTTTTTAATTCAAAAGGGGCTTATTTTTTTGTAAAATGCTTTCAAATATGCAGTTGTTCCACCCAACTCATTGTGATGTGCTTCAACATGTCACGGTGTGGAGTATAGCAAGCTAACTAGCTGGCTAGCTGATAAACCCCAGGCATTGTCTGAGAAATGTAATTAACCTAATCGAAGAAGTTAGCTAATATCAGATTGTCAACGTGCTGTGCTCATTCTATGTGGCAGCCAGATTTCATAGCATGCAAGCCAGCTAGCTTTGCATTTCGTGTAGTTTGACTTTAGCTAGCTAGCTCGCTCAACTTGGCTTCAAGACAGATTAAACTCAGCATTGTCAGGGATGCGCATCTCTCATATTGTACAGTAATATATTTACTGTAGTTAAATCAGTACACGTCGTTATTTCCTGTCTGTGACAGCCAACTAAGCATTTACCGACGTCGGATGCGTCTTTTTTTGTCCTGTCCAGACCTGCCCTCTTTTTTTGGTGCAGTCCTGACCGGCCTTGATTTCAACATCCAAGGATGTTGTTTTTTGGTGTAGTCCGGACGGGCTTTTATTTGGGCCAAACACATAGACGTCTATGTTTGGTTAAGATTTGATCCGGCCTTGATTTAAACTTCCACAGATGTTGTTTTTTGGTCCGGTGTGTACCAGCCTCTATTTGGCACAAACATAGATGTCTATAATCGGTTCAGATCACATTTGAACCAATCATAGACATACAGTGGGGAAAAAAAGTATTTAGTCAGCCACCAATTGTGCAAGTTCTCCCACTTAAAAATATGAGAGGTCTGTAATTTGCATCATAGGTACACGTCAACTATGACAGACAAATTGAGAAAAAAAAATCCAGAAAATCACATTGTAGGATTTTTTATGAATTTATTTGCAAATTATGGTGGAAAATAAGTATTTGGTGACCTACAAACAAGCAAGATTTCTGGCTCTCACAGACCTGTAACTTCTTCTTTAAGAGGCTCCTCTGTCCTCCACTCGTTACCTGTATTAATGGCACCTGTTTGAACTTGTTATCAGTATAAAAGATACCTGTCCACAACCTCAAACAGTCACACTCCAAACTCCACTATGGCCAAGACCAAAGAGCTGTAAAAGGACACCAGAAACAAAATTGTAGACCTGCACCAGGCTGGGAAGACTGAATCTGCAATAGGTAAGCAGCTTGGTTTGAAGAAATCAACTCTGGGAGCAATTATTAGGAAATGGAAGACACACAAGACCACTGATAATCTCCCTCGATCTGGGGCTCCACGCAAGATCTCACCCCGTGGGGTCAAAATGATCACAAGAACGGTGAGCAAAAATCAGAGAACCACACGGGGAGACCTAGTGAATGACCTGCAGACAGCTGGGACCAAAGTAACAAAGCCTACCATCAGTAACACACTACGCCGCCAGGGACTCAAATCCTGCAGTGCCAGACATGTCCCCCTGCTTAAGCCAGTACATGTCCAGGCCCGTCTGAAGTTTGCTATAATGCATTTGGATGATCCAGAAGAGGATTGGGAGAATGTCATATGGTCAGATGAAACCAAAATAGAACTTTTTGGTAAAAACTCAACTCGTCGTGTTTGGAGGACAAAGAATGCTGAGTTGCATCCAAAGAACACCATACCTACTGTGAAGCATGGGGGTGGAAACATCATGCTTTGGGGCTGTTATTCTGCAAAGGGACCAGGATGACTGATCCGTGTAAAGGAAAGAATGAATGGGGCCATGTATCGTGAGATTTTGAGTGAAACCTCCTTCCATCAGCAAGGGCATTGAAGATGAAACGTGGCTGGGTCTTTCAGCATGACAATGATCCCAAACACACCGCCCGGGCAACGAAGGAGTGGCTTCGTAAGAAGCATTTCAAGGTCCTGGAGTGGCCTAGCCAGTCTCCAGATCTCAACCCCATAGAAAATCTTTGGAGGGAGTTGAAAGTCCGTGTTGCCCAGCGACAGCCCCAAAACATCACTGCTCTAGAGGAGATCTGCATGGAGGAATGGGCCAAAATACCAGCAACAGTGTGTGAAAACCTTGTGAAGACTTACAGAAAACGTTTGACCTGTGTCATTGCCAACAAAGGGTATATAACAAAGTATTGAGAAACTTTTATTATTGACCAAATACTTATTTTCCACCATAATTTGCAAATAAATTCATAAAAAATCCTACAATGTGATTTTCTGGATTTTTTTTTCTCATTTTGTCTTTCATAGTTGACGTGTACCTATGATGAAAATTACAGGCCTCTCTCATCTTTTTAAGTGGGAGAACTTGCACAATTGGTGGCTGACTAAATACTTTTTTCCCCCACTGTATATGTTTCACAAGTTTGGACAGCACAGCAGAGTACCATATATTACACCGTACAGTAGAGCACAGTAGACAGGGCTGTAGAGTGTAACCATTTTACTCGCATATGCGCCTAAATATTTTCTAATTTAGGAGCACGAGTGCGCCTAGAAAAAGGAAGGATTTGAGCTTTAATACCTCAAATATTTTTCATTGTGTTCCTACAATAAAGGTCAGCGTAGAGCCCTGGTAGAGTAAAGAAAAGTCATGTATAATGTACTCTATTGTACCGTACTTTGCTCTACTGTACTCTATTCTACTGAACTAAACTATACACAACAGTACTCTACTGAATGAAAGTACTATCCTGTACCATAACGTATTCTACTGTATTAAACTGTGCCGTACTGTACTATGATGTTCAATCCTGTGAAACATAGCCTAGACATCTATGATTCGTTCAGATTTGGATCTAGTCCGGAACCAACCAAATGTGTATTTGTTTGGGGCGGCGCTCATTAGAATAATACCCAGCATGCTTTGAAAGTGTTTGTTTTTACATTTACAATTTGGTCATCCATCAGACACTTCTACCCAGAGCGTCTTACAGTCAGTGCAGTCAACTAAGGTAGATGAACAACAACATATTACAGTCATAGTAAGATTATTTTTTATTTTTTACCGTTACTGAGAATGTTTTTGTAGTTGAAGGGGTCTGTTGGTTTATTCTGTAGGTTGGGCTACTTTGAACATCATTGCTGCCAGTTTTAAAGCTTTTGACAGATGGGAGCAATAATAAATATACTGTGTCAATCTTCAGTTGGCTCCGCTTTCCTACATTAAGAGGCTTGAAAAATTATTATTGTGATATAATGCTTACTTTATTGAGAATGTATGTGCAGTTGAAATTTGGCCATAGAATCAATGACGGCAAAATAGGTATTTTCAACGTCTGTAAATGATGGGTTTTCAACTTCGATGTCCGGGAAATACATATTTTCACCTTTCGTTCAGCACCTAAAATGCACCTTAGGTGAACGTCTGGAAAATACACAAAAAAAAGGTGTATTTTCAGCGTAATTTTGCTTACTGGGAGTGGTCTGTCAAATCCAGAGCAGGCCATTGAACAAAAGAAGTGAACCAATCGAAAACAATGATTCAGGGCCCGGTTTCCCAAAAGCATCTTAAGGTTAAAGTTCATCGTTAGAACCATAGGATCCTATAATGCTTTTGGGAAACCGGGCCCTGGAATGTTACATAAATGAAGATGCATGCTTATTACATAAAAAAAAAAAATCATCCATGATCTTTCACAGATGTAACTGGTATGACCATGGCAGCAATTTTTCAGAAGTTGATGGAATTTGCAAGTTCAGTGATTATGACGTCAAATGTTTTGAGTTGTGAATGACCTCCTGACCTCCTGAATGACCTCCTGACCTCCTGAATGGTTCTGTAGTGGCTACAATCAAAAGCTGTCAATCATGTGTCAAATATAGTGCACGACTCCCTATATAGTGCACGACTCCCTATATAGTGCACGACTCCCTATATAGTGCACGACTCCCTATATAGTGCACGACTCCCTATATAGTGCACGACTCCCTATATAGTGCACGACTCCCTATATAGTGAACGACTCCCTATATAGTCCCTATATAGTACACTACTCCTTATATAGTGCACGACTCCCTATATAGTGCACTACTTTTAACCAGGGCTCTATAATAGGGTGCCATTTGGAACACAGATCTACTCTGCTTTGAAAATAGGATTCTAATTCATAACAGTAATTTTTTCTTGGGCCCATATTCATTAAACTTCTTAGAGTTGTGCGGATCTAGGATCAGGTCTCCCCCTGTACATGTAGTAATCTTAACCGAAAGGTTACTAGTTCGAATCCCATAGCCGTCAAGGTGAAAAATCTGTCGACGTGCCCTTGAGCAAGGCACTAAACTCTAATTGCTCCAAGGTCCCTGGCCGTGTCCCCACCCTCTGAGGGTGTCTCAGGGGGAGTTGGGATATGCAAAAAATACATTTCCATTTCACACAAAACGCATAATACACACTTGTACATATGCGAAACAGGACAAATATAAGCACCCACCAAATTATTATTATTTTTATTTATTATCTAATAGGCAAAACTGGTCCTTGATCCGCACTCCAACTCTGAGAGGTTATGAATACAGGTCCAGATATATTTCCTTTATCTGTTAATTCCAGAGTGAATCATTGGTTGTCTGTGACGTTGATGGAGCCCTAGTTAAAAAGCTACAGGAGTTCCGCTTCCGGAAGGACACTAACAATGCTGCTATCATCAGTAAGTGTCCTCCTAATCATAAAGAATTTAAAGTTGACAATGCTGCCGTCATCAGTAAGTATCCTCCTAATCATAAATAATTTAAAGTTGACAATGCTGCCGTCATCAGTAAGTATCCTCCTAATCATAAAGAATTTAAAGTTGACAATGCTGCCGTCATCAGTAAGTATCCTCCTAATCATAAAGAATTTAAAGTTGACAATGCTGCCGTCATCAGTAAGTATCCTCCTAATCATAAAGAATTTAAAGTTGACAATGCTGCCGTCATCAGTAAGTATCCTCCTAATCATAAAGAATTTAAAGTTGACAATGTTGTTTTTTTGCTTCCACACACATGGGGCCTGAGATCCAGTCAGTGTTTGTAAAGGACCATTATGTTGATCCATGCTGGTTTGTCACACCCTCGTATTACCCTGGGTTTTGGGTACATAGATTGTTTCTGATGTTCTCTTATAAATTCATACATCCTCTCATTGGATTGTTTATAAGAGGAACGTTTGTCTGAAGCTTTTGAAGGCCTCATATATTTGTTTTTGTCTTTCTCAGTGAAGATTGACAAGGACAAACAGCTCGTCATCCTTGATGAAGAACATGAGGTACGTTGCCAGATTGGTTGTTGTATGACGACGTCAGTGTTTATAAAGTGTCTTATCCGCAGACCTCTTAGAGCGTCTTCTATGATGTAGCCTGAACCTACTGTGGGACAAGACATATTTAACCTTGAATACCTTCTCTCTCTCATTTCTAGGATATTTCTCCTGATGATCTGAAGGATGAGCTGCCCGAAAGACAGCCAAGATATCCTTTGGTCAAAGAATAAAGACATGTATTTACAAGATGCTAGAATTTTTTTTCTCCACATTCTGGGCTGAATCCTAGTCCGAGCACAGTCAGATTGGGCGTCATCTGTGACTCTTATCATCTTTGTTTTAATCCTACAAGTTCTCCTTAACCCCCTTCACGTTTGTGGTGTATAGCTACAAGTACCAACATAATGATGGACGAGTTTCTTACCCCCTCTGCTTCATTTTCTCTAGTCCAGTGGGTAAGATAAGATCCGGTCCTCAACATCCCTGTAGCAACACCTGTTGGGCCCATTTTTATAAAAAGAAAGATACATTGAGTCTGCCATTTTTAACTGACGAGGGTGCATGCTAACTGAGGTAAAATGGGATGTATTCATTAGTCGCAGGCCGAAGCAAAAAAACGGAAACCGATTATCGTTCACTCTAGGAACCAAAGATACAGAATGAAACGGGGAGGGACCTACCTGAATTTGTCCAATAGAAACTCTAGTTTTCGTTGCAAAACGGTTCCCGTTGAAAAAAGTTTTGAAAACAGACCAAACGTCTGCTACGGTCTGCGACTAATGAATACACCCTGATTAATGGATAGTAAAATACACTACATGACCAAAGGTATGTGGACACCTGCTCGTCAAACATCTCATTCCAAAATTATGGGCATTAATATGGAGTTGGTCCTCCCCTTTGCTGCTATAACAGCCTCCACTCTTCTGGGAAGGCTTTCCACTAGATGTTGGAACATTGCTGCGGGGGACTTGCTACCATTCAGCCACAAGAGCATTAGTGAGGTCGGGCACTGATGTTGGGCGATTAGGCCTGGCTCGCAGTCGGCGTTCCAATTCATCACTGTTGGAACTATGCATTCGGGCAAGAAGCGTTCTCCTGGGATCCGCCAAACCCAGATTCGTCTGTCGGACTGCCAGATGGTGAAGCGTGATTCATCACTCCAGAGAACGCGTTTCCACTGCTCCAGAGTCCAATGGCAGTGAGCTTTACACCACTCCAGCCGACACTTGGCACTGCACAGGGTGATCTTAGGCTTGTGTGGGGCTGCTCGGCCATGGAAACCCATTTCATGACGCTTCCGACAAACAGCTGACGTTGCTTCCAGAGGCAGTTTGGAACTCGGTAGTGAGTGTTGCAACCGAGGACAGACGATTTTTACGAGCTACGTGCTTCAGCACTCGCCGGTCCCGTTCTGTGAGCTTGTGTTGCCTACCACTTCGCGGCTGAGCCGTTGTTGCTCCTAGACGTTTCCACTTCACAATAACAGCACTTACAGTTGACCGGGGCAGCTCTAGCAGGGCAGAAATTTGACGAACTGACTTGTTGGAAAGGTGGCATCCTATGACGGTGCCACGTTGAAAGTCACTGAGCTCTTCAGTAAGGCCATTCTGCTGCCAATGTTTGTCTATGGAGATTGCATGGCTGTGTGCTCGATTTTATACACCTGTCAGTAACGGGTGTGGCTGAAATAGCCGAATCCACTAATTTGAAGGGGTGTTCACATACTTTTGTATGTATAGTGTATGTTGTGTTACGTTGAAGTGATTTAAGACATGCCTATAGTGGGTTTTAGTTTGACCCACAGAGATGCATATTATCTCTATGTCCTAATTCTATTTCTATGTTTTTAACCACGTCTGTTTTTCTCAGGATGTAAACCCGAGCAGCAGATGATGTACGCTGGAAGCAAAAACAAGCTGGTGCAAACTGTTCAGTTGACTAAGGTTAGTGACCAAACTGTTTATTTCATCTTTGGAGCCCATTTTTACCTGGATTTAGCTGTATTTATTACTAGTTTATTACCACGATATTACATCCTACAGTGTAGTACTCTATTAGTGTGTGATTACATAAAATTGGCTCCAAGATGTTGGCTTTATATCTTGTAAAAAGAGGCGTTATCAGTCTTCTATCTGCTCTCTCTCTCTCATTTCTTCCAGGTGTTTGAGATCAGAAACACAGAGGACCTGACAGAGGAATGGCTTAGAGAGAAGCTTGGGTTCTTCGGTTAAAGACGAGGCCATCTGGTGGTGAATGGACTGAATGGTCTAGAGGAGGAACTAGACTGCATAGAGAGCCTGTGTTGTCTGTCACTTGGGGAGAAAACACCGTTTGCTTACGTTTCCCTCCTCTGTGTCGCTACTTATCCCCATACAGTCTCCCTCTCCCCAACAACATGTGCCAGTTTCCTGTGTCTATATAGAATAAATACTACCAGTCCTACTGAGGGGGACAGAGCATTCCGTCTACTATACAAGCAAAACAAGGGAAATTGAAAGGAATTGTCATGGCGACAATTGTTTTAGATTTAGAACTATGTTTGGTTATTACACAATTATGACTTGATTAGATTCTAACCACTTTTTTTTGTTTTTTTAAGGCCAATTTTTTAAAAACCATTTCTACTGTAATCAAAAGAAAGGTTTTTTGATAGTAAGAGGGGAGCTATGATTTGGGGGACCTGTTTTTTTTTTTTTTATCAAGTCATAAAGATATTACTTGTGAGAGGAGTGTGTGTATGTAGAAAACACTAGCATCTACTTTGATTCTTCCTGATACTTTTTCAAGATGGAAGTGTCACTAGGCTTGAAGCACTTTGACTCGCATCGCACAATCATAGCCATACGTTGAATTTGGATGTAAAATGTATCTTTGACTATCGTGGACTTCCTCTTTCTCGTTCTGCTTGGACAGGTCAGTATAAAGAAATACATTAATTTTTCACGTTATTACATTTAGATGGCACCGTATGACAACAAAGAATCTTAATCCAAATTACAATACAACAACAAAAAAGACAGGTAAAATATAATCCACAGACTGATGGGTGTAGACATTCTCTTTACTGCAGTTTGGGGAAAAAGGGTTAAAGGAATTATGCATATTAATGCTGTTATTCAATAAGTAACAATTTAAAAACCAGCAGCTAACATCCTTGAGAGTCGCAGACAGTTTTTGTGACATAAAGGACAGTGAGATTTCTCTGTTCATCTTTGTTTAGAGTAGAAACGGTGTGATACTTTGCAGTGAGGTAATGTTGTGTTTCCCAAATGGCACCCTATACCATACATCATGTAGTGCACTACTTTTGACCAGAACCCCTATGTGCCCTGGTCAAAAGTACTGCACTATATAGGGAAAAGGGTGCCATTTGGGATGTAACAAAAATGCTTTTCTACGTGTCTTACCATCTGCTGAAATGTGCCATTTAAAAAAAGCATAATAAGACTTTAAACATCCAAACGGATGAACTGTACTGGAACATAGTCCTGTTTTTACTCTGAATCGGGCAATCAGCTGGTGTCAAATAGTGGTTTACTAACTTTTTAAAACTATTTGGTCCTTCTCGAAAAATGCTTAATAAGTTCTTCTAAAGATAACTATAATATGGTAAACTGCAGTACTACAAGTGCATATGTTTACGTCAGTGTGTCTTTGTCCGACAGTTTGCATTATGACAACAACAACAACAAAAACACCCCAACAAAGCCTTCAGCGGTGTGTCAGTTTGTACTGCTTGTTCTTTGTCTAAACGGGGAACGTATCCTCAACAATGAATTCAATATCGGCGTACTTTGATCGACGCAAGCAATAAAATATAGAGAACACGCACGGGGGTGTATTCAAAGGCGGAAGTTGCCGAGAATGTGTGTTTGGGGTTAAACACCACAGTAGTTGGATATGATCAACATCTTGATGAGGGAATGATGAGTCGTGTTCTAAATGTCACCTTCTACTTTTGACCCCAGTCCTACAGGTCCCATAGTGCGCCATAGAGAGAATACGGTGCCGTTTGGAACGTATCCATGGAGATAATCATCCCTGGATAGAATTCTTCAACCTGCATTCATGCATAAGATACAGCTCTGCTAGGGAACTAGTAGAAACACGTGGACTATTTAGTGTCTTGATTACTCTGAATTGATGTATTTTTCCTGTAAAAGTTCTGTACTTTTCTCAGATCAAATTCTTCATTCTTCTTTTCTTAACAAAACAGCATTTCAAACATATAACATATTCAGCTCCCTAATGGGGTCAGTGAAACTTGTGAAATATTTGTATTTTTCCATGCTTTGTAACAGTTATCCCAATAAAACAAAAATGATGTTTAATGTTGTACACTTTAATATCAAACATCACCAAATACCATGCATTGAATGTCATTCAATATAAACTGATATAAATGTTTAAATCATATGTTCTTCAGAATGGGCAACATACACTGAGTGTACAAAACATTAAGGACACCTAATTAGCATTCAGCATTCAGGGCTCAAACCACCCAGTTTATAATTGTAATTACAGTGAGGGAAAAAAGTATTTGATCCCCTGCTGATTTTGTACGTTTGCCCACTGACAAAGAAATGATCAGTCATAATTTTAATGGTAGGTTTATTTGAACAGTGAGAGACAGAATAACAACAAAAAAATCCAGAAAAACACGTCAAAAATGTTATAAATTGATTTGCATTTTAATGAGGGAAATAAGTATTTGACCCCTCTGCAAAACATGACTTAGTACTTGGTGGAAAAACCCTTGTTGGCAATCACAGAGGTCAGACGTTTCTTGTAGTTGGCCACCAGGTTTGCACACATCTCAGGAGGGATTTTGTCCCCACTCCTCTTTGCAGATCTCTCCAAGTCATTAAGGTTTCGAGGCTGACGTTTGGCAACTCAAACCTTCAGCTTCCCTCCACAGATTTTCTATGGGATTAAGGTCTGGAGACTGGCTAGGCCACTCCAGGACCTTAATGTGCTTCTTCTTGAGCCACTTCTTTGTTGCCTTGGCCGTGTGTTTTGGGTCATTGTCATGCTGGAAAACCCATCCACGACCCATTTTCAATGCCCTGGCTGAGGGAAGGAAGTTCTCACCCAAGATTTGACGATACATGGCCCCGTCCATCGTCCCTTTGATGCGATGAAGTTGTCCTGTCCCCTTAGCAGAAAAACACCCCCAAAGCATAATGTTTCCACCTCCATGTTTTACGGTGGGATGGTGTTCTTGGGGTCATAGGCAGCATTCCTCCTCCTCCAAACACGGCGAGTTGAGTTGATGCCAAAGAGCTCAATTTTGGTCTCATCTGACCACAACACTTTCACCCAGTTCTCCTCTGAATCATTCATATGTTCATTGGCAAACTTCAGACGGGCCTGTATATGTGCTTTCTTGAGCAGGGGGACCTTGCGGGTGCTGCAGGATTTCAGTCCTTCACGGCGTAGTGTGTTACCAATTGTTTTCTTGGTGACTATGGTCCCAGCTGCCTTGAGATCATTGACAAGATCCTCCCGTGTAGTTCTGGGCTGATTCCTCACCGTTCTCATGATCATTGCAACTCCACAAGGTGAGATCTTGCATGGAGCCCCAGGCTGAGGAAGATTGACAGTTATTTTGTGTTTCTTCCATTTGCGAATAATCGCACCAACTGCTTGGCGATGGTCTTGTAGCCCATTCCAGCCTTGTGTAGGTCTACAATCTTGTACCTGACATCCTTGGAGAGCTCTTTGGTTTTGGCCATGGTGGAGAGTTTGGAATCTGATTGATTGATTGTTCTGTGGACAGGTGTCTTTTATACAGGTAACAAACTGAGATTAGGAGCACTCCCTTTAAGAGTGTGCTCCTAATCTCAGCTCATTACCTGTATAAAAGACACCTGGGAGCCAGAAATCTTTCTGATTGAGAGGGGGTCAAATACTTATTTCCCTCATTAAAATGCAAATCAATTTATAACATTTTTGACATGCGTTTTTCTGGATTTTGTTGTTGTTATTCTGTCTCTCACTATTCAAATAAACCTACCATTAAAATTATAGACTGATCATTTCTTTGTCAGTGGGCAAGCGTACAAAATCAGCAGGGGATCAACAACTTTTTTCCCTCACTGTATAAACTGGGTTTGTTTGAGCCCTGACTGCTGATTGGCTGACAGCCATGGTATATCAGACCATAAACCACGGGTATGATAAAACATTTATTTTTACTGCGTTAATTATGTTGGTAACCAGTTTATAATAGCAATAAGGCACCTCTGGGGTATGTGGTATATGGCCAATATACCACGGCTAAGGGCTGTATCCAGGCACTCCGCGTTGCGTCGTGCTTAAGAACAGCCCTTGGCTGTGGTACAGTGCATCAGGCTCCTGAGTGGCACAGTGGTCTAAGGCACTGCATCGCAGTGCTAACTGTGCCACTAGAGATCCTGGTTCGAATCCAGGCTCTGTCGCCGCCGGCCGCGACCGGGAGACTCATGGGCGGCGCACAATTGGCCCAGCGTCGTCCAGGGTAGGGGAGGGAATGGCCGGCAGGGATGTAGCTCAGTTGATAGAGCATGGCGTTTGCAATGCCAGGGTTGTGGGTTCGATTCCCACGGGGGGCCAGTATAAAAAAATATGTATTCACTAACTGTAAGTCGCTCTGGATAAGAGCGTCTGCTAAATGACTAAAATGTAAATGTAATGTAAATGAAAGTATTCAGCCCCCATGACCTTTTCCACATTTTGTTACGTTACAGCCTTATTCTAAAATGGATTAAATTAATTTTGTTCCTCATCAATCCACACAATACCCCATAATGACAAAGCAAAAACTGTTTTTTAGAAATTTTTGCAAATGTATTACAAATACAAAACTGAAATACCTTATTTATATAAGTATTCAGACCCTTCGCTATGAGACTCGAAATTGAGCTCACTCCTGTTTCCATTGATCATCTTTGAGATGTTTCTACAGTCCACCTGTGGTAAATTCAATTGATTGGACATGATTTGGAAAGGCACACACCTGTCTATATAAAGGTCCCACAACAGTGCAAGTCAGAGCAAAAACCAAGCCATGAGGTCGAAGGAATTGTCCGTAGAGCTCCGAGACAAGATTGTGTCGAGGCACAGATCTGGGGAAGGGTACCAAAAAATGTCTGCAGCATTGAAGGTCCCCAAGAACACAGTGGCCTCCATCATTCTTAAATGGAAGAAGTTTGGAACCACCAAGACTCTTCCTAGAGCTGGCCGCCCAGCA